GGTTGGGGAGAGGAGTGCTTTAGAGCAGTGTCTCCACGCTGAAAAATGCCGGTGGGGGTGCTTTAACTAAAGCCTGTTGAACCAGATCTCCACCAGACCTCCACCATTTGAGCTATAGAAGTAACTTTGTAAGCAGGTAGGAGAAGTATAGGTTTTTTCCAATATTAAGCCAGCCACAAGAAGGGGAGACATGTCATACATATGGCTAACTAATTTGTCATAACAGTGCCCTGATTTTATTCATCCCTGAACTAGGTCACCATTTGCTTTTACCAATGCAGTGGCAAGAAGTGCAAGACGGACTTCAAAGACATGCCAGACTTCATGCCATCACCTGCTTGCAGTGCCCTTCTGCTGTCTACATAGGTGACATGTGGGGAGGCACGGGCAGCAGTTGTGCAATTTTCATGGAAACCGCCATTTTGGGCAGGTTCCACACTTTTGGTGGGCTCACTGCAAAATAAATAAATAAAACAAACTTACCAGCAAGCAGAGAAGTCCTGCAGCTTTGGAGCATGGGGAGAAGGCAGGGGGGGAGGGGGGGCGAAGCAGAGGTGGGAAAAGAGAGGGGGAAGGGGGCAGCACAGAGGGAGGTGAGGTGGGGCTGCTCCAGGGCCACAGACCACATACAGAGTATTTACTGTAGTGAACCTGCAATGCAGCATTGAATAAAACCCATCACAGGGCAAGAAGCCGTCAGTGCCTGGGAAGGGAGGAAAGGGGAGTAGGGCAGTGAGTCAGGCACCACCTACAAACTGCCAACCCTTCATAACTTTACTGGGTTCACAACTGCATGTTCACTATAGCGAATGCTTTGTACGTGGTGTGTGGCCCCAGGGTGGGACTGCTCATCCTGCTTGCTGCTGGGAGCAGCCCTGTCCTGTGTCGTCCCCCCGACATCTTCTCCCCCATACTCCAAGACTACAGGACTTCTCTGCTTGTTGGTAAGTTTGGGTCGGGGGGGGAGGGGGCAGTTTGCAAGGAGTCACCCAAAACTACATCGTAATTACCCTGGAGAAGCCATTAATCCACACTTAATAACACACAGATTAATGACTTCCCTGGGCTTAATCAGGGTAATTATGCCACAGTATCAAGCCATGTGGCAATCTATGAAGAGGAGTGGGACTGCCAGGTTCCCTCAGCCAATCAGGGGCATAGGGGGGAAGGAGGCAGGTGCCACACTCGGCCGGCAAAAATGCCAGCTAGCCCTGGGATCTGCCCATGAAATTGGCCAGCCACCTCCTCGGGTTTGGTAGACCCCTACATATAAGATGTGAGGCAGGTGCATCGTATCAATAATCCCTAAAGCATCATAGCTGCAACTGCCCCCCACCAGCGGTGCTCTCTGCAGACTTCAGAAAACCTCCTGTTAACATATACATGCTGCAGGAAATGCAGTCGCAGTTGGAGATAGTTGTAAGGACGCCACCACTGAGCTACTTCGTTACTAGATTTACTTTGCAATCTCTGCTAAATGCCTCATGTATGGACTAGAACTACAGCTTGGAAAACTGGTACGTTCAGTTTGGAGACGCAGTTCATTTATTTCCTGTTACTCTGGGGAAAAGGGATGTGTTAAATATTCATGGAACAGCAGGATACTAAGCAACTTATAAACAAAACAATCAGCTGCCCTCCCCTCCTTGCTTTGCTCCTTCCTAATATCAAGGAGGGAGCTGGTAGCCTGCAATGAAGCCTGCCCAGCAATTTCCATTACATTTACCTGTCATGCTGAATGAAGGCTTTTTGGAAAATGCCATTAAAAACACACCAGCTCTTTCCCAGAAAGATTAGAGGAAAAATATTGATCTGCCCAGGTTAAGAAAATAAATCTCAAATCGAATTTCTGTCTTAAGCTCTTGCATCTCCCTGCTTTTGGGCACGACTGGGAAATTTGGGGTAGGGTAGGGCTGCATTGTTCTCCCCTTAGAAATCCTTTCAAATATGGCCAAGGTTTAAGTCTTTTGGGGAAAAAAAAGCAGGGTTCTCGCACAATATAGGACACCTATTGAATGCTGACATTCAGGAATAGAGGGTTTGTCAAACACCCTTCTACCCTATTCCTCCACCTCCCTGTGTGCCTTCCTCCTGAAGTTAATCTTCCCTGGCCCCCACCCAGGTCTTTGCCTGGTTTTTCCATCGGACTTCTCTATCTTAGATTCATATATTCTAGAGTCAGAAGGGACCCAATGGATCATCATGTCTGACCCCCTGCCCCTGGCAGGAAAGAGGACCGAGGTCAGACGACCCCAGCCAGGTGACTGTCAAGCCTCCTCTTGAAGACCTCCAAGTTAGGTGATAGCACTACCTCTCTTGAAAGCCCATTCCAGACTCTGGCGACCCTTATTGTAAAACATTTCTTCCTAATGTCTAACCTAAATCTACTCTCCATTAGTTTGCACCCATTATTCTTAGTTACTCCCCGGGGTGCTCTGGTAAACAGCGCATCCCCAATTCCCTCCTGTCCTCCCCTGATAAATTTATAAGTGGCTACAAGGTCACCCCTCAGCCGTCTTTTGTATAGGCTGAAGAGATCCAGCTCTCTCAACCTCTCCTTGTAGGGTCTTTCATGGAGACCACTAATCATGCCAGTGGCCTCCTCTGAACCCTCTCCAGATCCCCCATGTTCCTCTTGAAGTGCAGCCCCCAAAACTGGACACAGCACTCCAGCTGCGGCCTGACCAATGCCGCAGAGGGGGAGCATCACCTACCTTGATCTGTTGGTCATGCATCTGCTAATACATGACAAGGTGCGATTGGCTTTGTTGATGGCCTCATTACACTGCTGGCTCATGTTCATCTTGGAGTCAACTATGACTCCAAGATCTCTCTCAGCCTTTGAGCTGCTGAGGAGGACTTCCCCCCAGCCTGTAGGTGTGCTGGGGATTCCTCCTTCCCAAATATCTCCCCTCATTACTAGAGCACCCAAGCACTTCACAATATTTAACATATGAATCCTCACCACATGCTTGGGGGTAGGGCAGTGCTATTATCTCCATTCTACTAGTTGGGAGCTGAGTCTTTGGCACACATTACACTTGTGACACTAGTGCAGCTGGGCATGGAGGATCAGAGGCTTCTGGCAGGGGGAACTGAAGGGTTTCCCTTGCCAGGGAGTTTAAATCCCATGCCCAGCACCCGACGGGGGCTGCCTGGCACAGGACATGAAAGAGTCGTGATGCTGACCGTAGCTGATTGTCAGCATCTGGACTTGGCCAAGCCCTGGTCTAGAACCCAGCCAGGGGCTGTCTCAAATCCCTCCTTGTTGGCAATGGGATGTAAGTCACTGGGACCCAGCACTTCAAACTGTCCGGCACTGGGTGGACAATCAGCTATTTGTCGGCCCCCTGCCCTGGAAAGCCCCAGATCCTGGGACTATCTCCACCTGATCCCCGGGATAAGGCTGGGGGCAGATCTGCAGTGAGGAATCTTACGCCCCATTCCAAACATCATGCCGCCTGCCATGCACATCTGGCACAGCAGGAGGCACCATGTTTTGGATGGGGCATAACATTCCTCCAATCCCAATCATATCATTGTTTTAACATCTGTCAGGGGCCTGACTGATCTGCCTGAGGTCATACTGGAAACTGTGGAAGACCGGGGAACCAACCCGGATCTGAAGCTGTGCGCTGCATCTCCGACCCTAAACCAGGTTAGTTCTCCTGCCACTCCTCTTCACTCAGGCAGCTTTCTCCTTTCCTCTACAGTGAGAAGAAGCACTGAGAGCATGGGAGAAACCGAGCTCTCTGCTGGCAGTGCCTATGGCCCTTGGCAGCCTGGGGTGCCAACTGCAGGGGAAGTTTTGCTGCACAAAGGATAATGTGTGTGGAGTAGCTCTGTGCAGATGACACCAGCTCATGGTCAGTCTTAGAAGCTGTGAAGAATGGGACATGCTCAGTGCAGATGGAATCAATGGAGAATTTGCCCAGCCCTAGGTGTGAGTCTGACCACTATCATCCAAAGGCTTATACCTGGCACATGCCTGTCACCATCACTCTCCCTGCCAAATTTCAAGGCCCTGCCCCAAATGTAGGAGGCCCTAGAGTTTCTCAACTAAACATTTGTAATTTTTTTTTAACCTCCGTACCGTATTTACCCAAATACAAAACAACCCTGAATGTAAGATGACCTCCCTAATAATTAGATTCTATCCTGTACACAGAAAATTTAAAATTATAATTTTCCATGCATGGAATCTAATTATTGGAGGATCCGTTTAGATTTGTCTCCCCTCAGCATTGCAGGTGGTAGGGGGAGAGGTGGTGGGGGGACAGATAGTGAGGTAAAGACAGTAGGGGGGCAGGAGTCATGTACAGAAGTGGCTAAAATATTGTAGAGAATCAGCACAAATGAGATATCACGAAGAAAATTGCAGCCACAGCGGCTGAAGTTTGGCAAACTAAAAACAGGATCTTATCATCGGGAAGCGTGGGGCAATCTTCCATAGACAATGTTTCCTGAATGAGCTAAAATAAAATGTGAAGATGTCACCTCATGGTTTACCTTATCTTTCAGGTCACTGGAGAGTCGCGCTCTTAAAATCTGCTTGGCATATATGCCAATGCAAGAGTCCCCTATCTCAGGAGACAACTGCCACTTGAGAAACCATACTTAATTCTAGCTCTATAGTCATATCTCTATAATTTATTTTAAACACAATAAAACAGTTCAAAATGCTTTGAATTTTTATTGTCTGGTGCCCAGGCATCAATCTAGGATAGTGGTAGAAAAATGCATCCTGCTTGTGTGCTGAAGATTGGGGTAGACAGATAGCCCCTGAAGGCCGTCCCAACCCTATGCTACAGCACCATGGGGTTCCTTGGGCTTCTTGCAAGGATGCTGTGGAGTGCAGCCCAATGTTGGCACCGTTAGATGTGGAAACCTGATTCCCAAGATAAACCCAGAGATTTCAAATAGGAATCCATAGTATTAAAAACATTTTGACCTGTTGTGAGCTGTCTGAATTCTTTGCAATAGAAAATCTCCTCTATTATTTTTCGGTTGTTATAAAGTGAGTGACAACTAAGAGCTGGCATTTTTGGAGAGGTGCCTCGAGTCTAATGAGGAGTGACTTGAGTCTTAAAATATTGAGAACTGCTGCCCTAAACAATAAATCCTGATCCAGTTGACCAAATTTTTCAAAACTCAGAGGCAGAGAAGGTAGTGAATGTGAAGGTGCCTGGGACTATAAACACTGGAATATAATACAGATGCATGTAATTAAGAAGCTTTTGTTTTTGCTTTTGCTTTTCATGGTGCTCAGTGATGACAACCTTTGAAGGCCATGCCCTTCCAGGCTGTTACTTCCTGACAGTTGGGCTTCTGTGGTCTGTGAGATACCCGCTAAAATATTTCATGCAGCACAAGGATAAAAAATTCACCCCAAATAAGCACTACCAATATCTGGAGCTCCTTGAAGGAATAGGCAAAGTTATTGTGGCTGCGGTGGGTAAGGATCATAACTCGTTGATTGTGTTTCTACTGATAGGGCTGCTTTATGGACCCCAAGGCCCAACTTCAGGATTTGTCAATGAGAAGAAATGTCTTCCTATACTATGGAAAAGGAAACAGAATAGGCTCAGCAAGCTGATGAGATAATGGAGGTGGGGCAGACTGGAGTTTCCCCTGTCCTCCAGTTAAGGTTAACAAATAACTGGGATTGCTGATGGCAGTAAGCCTTCTCATAGCTAAGGGGGACACACTGTAAAGTACTCTGAAAGTCAAGGGGATGGGTCGCACAATACCCAGTGCCTGTGCTTATTCATGTCATGTCAGTACTAGTAAAATGCTAACCTGTGCAGCAGTTACACATCCCCACACAAACCCCAGCAGTGGCAGGACACAAGTGAGGAGCATGGCTGGAAAGCTGGGGCAAACAAAAAAACAAGATCCGAACTTGAAAGTAAGCAGGTGTTAGATGTTAACACCTTTCTCTGTCACTTGGATGACATTTTTCTCTCCTCTCCCCTCTCTGTTATTTTCACTGCCTGTTTGCCAGGGTTTCTTGCTGGACAGTTTATTCATGGGGGACCCTACTTGCATCTCTACCATGAGGACGATCACAGCTGGGTGGATCTCGTAGCCTGGATCCATGGAACCATGTACCTTATCTATGGGCTGTCTGGAGTAGTGGATGTGCTCACTTCCTCCTCAGTGGAGGACTGGACCGCTTCGTGCTCTCCCAGGCTTTATTTGTTCAAGGTTAGTACCAAGAGCACTACTGACAAAAGGCTGGGCAGCTTGGATCCTTTGACTGGGGTGCCAAATGCTTATCACTCACTCAGACTGCCACTTTAAGTGGTCAGTTAAAGCCCAGTTCAGATGTTGGCCATCCTTTACTTCACTCTGATCCAGTGGTTCTCAATCTTTTGAGACTTGAGGCATCCCTTGGTAGACTGGAGGCATTCCATGGAAAATGCCAGCTCTAAGTTTTCACTCCTTTTTTGACTACAGAAAAATACTAGAGCAAGTCTTCTGTTGTAAGGAAGTCAGACAGACCACGTCAGGGGCAGAATGTTTCTTACACTATGAATTCCTATGTGAAAATCTGGATTTAACTTTTGAATCATGTTTGCACACCTAACGGTGCTAACGTTGCGGTGGTACCCTGGTTGAGAATCGCTGCTCTAATCATTAAGAACACAGAGACACAGACAAAAAGCAAAGGCACAAACTTAGACCATAGCATAACTTCTAAGCACTTTTCTTAGGCAGGAGAAAAATCCATAGCACGTGTCCTCTGTGGGCACATCCAAACAAGCACACATGTGCAGTCTGTGGCACCTCGAAGCTGTAAGAGGCAACGCAAACCTCATGTGGTGCACGTTCACCTGCGTGGGAGATCCTGGGGTCAAATGAACTGCCACAGAAAAAAGTGGCGCTGAGCATGCAGCAGCAGCGTGCGCCACCAGAAACAGAGCCTGGCTGTCCAGAACTATCCTTTGGCTGCCAGCCAGGCTCCATGCGGGCAGATCGGCACCACTGCTATCCTGGGAGGCCCCCAGGACCTCTCGGTAAGGCTGCACAAGTGCTGGCCCCAGCCTTCCCTACCCCACTTAGGACAATTTGGTGTGTGCTAGTGCATGCATGCAAAGGCATGCCCTGGGGCACAAAGCATCAGCTTTGTGTCATGGCTACTTATGCTGTGGCAAATGCATGCCCCTGCACATGCATGCTCATCTGGACATGCCCTGTGAGGCTAATCAAACTTTTCTGGGGCAAGATAAGCTGTCTCAATTCAAACCTGTAAACTTATAACAAAACTTTTAAAAGTGATGTAGTCCTGCCTGATCAGTGGCATATTTAAACTGGATGAATTAATGGCAATTTTCTCATGGTTTCAAATGCACCGCATGTTTGTCTCCATGCTGATTTGCTCTAGGCTAATGCCTTGAACTAGCTTCGGTCCCTAGCTTCGGTATAGTTTCCCCTCTGCCCTCCAAAAATCAAGTGGCCGATGTAAGCTCAGAACTGTAGTCTTTGCCCTTTTGAGGAATCTCAGGCATCATTTACCTTTTCTTTTAACTCACTCTGAACAACAAACTGACATATCAGATTCACCAACTGATTCAAATGGCACCAGTGTCCAGGTTCAAGGGACACCTGTTGGCATCCAGTTTCCAGTTCCTCACTAACCATTTAAGTAGCATTAGCACTGTTGAATAATGTGATTTGAAATTTTGACAGGTTTGCTCTTTTACGCTCATGTCCATAACGGCTCTCCACTGGATCAGCACCTTCACTCACTGATGCTCCTTGCTATATTTAGTGGCGCTGCCTGCACCTTGCTAGAAGCATTCATACGAGACCACCCAATATTGGAGCTCTTGAGGACCAGTATGTTCTTGCTACAAGGATCGTGGTTCTGGCAGGTTAGTTACTCTGGTCTACTACTATCAGCCTAAATCTTTATGGGAAGGTGAGAAGGCTTCAACTTAACTTACCCTGATAGATATCTCATAGCTTTTCTCATGGGGAGATTGACAAACTGTATGAGTAAGCTAAGACAGACTGAAAACAAGATGTGAAATGGGATAAAACTTCAAAACTTAGTATTGTGATAAATACTAATAAGCAGTCTTTGCTCAGTTGTTAGAGGGGTTTCCCATGAGCTACCTCAATGGCAAAGAAAGCTAAAATCCTAGCATCCTTTGCAGTGCCCCCTCCCCTACCCCAGTGCTACAGCACAATGCAAGATTTCTAAACTAGGCAACCAAGTAGCATTTAACCTCCATGGATCACGCATGAACATTTTCCAAAAACTGCCACCCAACTAGTTCCCAGGATGAAGACTGTGCTCATTTCTAAATGCCACAGCAGCACCACAAATGCCTTCTGTCTACAGTCTCTTACATTACTACAGCAATTATCATCTCTGACACTTCTGTACTGCCACATCAGGTCTTTTGCCTTGGTTCAGCAGTACAGCATCATGCTGGTTGCTGTCTGGACGGCTTCAAGGGACTATCACTATGCAGACATCTAAGTCTCAATGTTGTTTTCCCAGGGCCTCCTCTATTTTTACATCACTCAGAGTAAGAGGAGGTCAAGAGTTTCCTTACAGCTTCACTTGCTGGAACAATGGGTGAGAGCAAGCATCCTTGAGCAGCAAAGAGACACTGTGGAATTCAAAGCAAGCGACCAAAGAAACATCCTTATTACTAGTGCAGCCAAGCAGGAAAAAGGCAGAATCTGCCCAGAGGGCAGCAATTGAGTAGAACAACACATCCAAGCATCATGATGATACTGGAGCCCAGTAGAGGTCAGCTCAGTGACCAGAGGGAATAAAAGTGGAGATAGCTAGCCAACTGACTGGCTTAATCAGGAAGGGTTTGCATCATATGCCTGCAGTTTTTTAGAAGCCAGATTATTCCACTTCTCACAGTAAACTGGAGTGTTTGTCCAAGACCTTAATGCAACATCATGGAGAGCATGGAAACCCATTAGTCAGTGCATCCACATTTGGGAACAAAGCATAACGAGGGAGGGAAACTTGAGTGATAAGGTTGCAGGGCTGGGCTGCTTACTGTATCATTTTACTCAAACCAGATTGGATTTGTGCTGTACTCACCATGGGGAGGGCCAGGCTGGGACCAAGCTGACCATGGAAATATCATGTTCATCACCATGTGCTTCTGCTGGCACTATATGAGTATCCTCCTCCTTGTCACCTTCAACTACACCATCATTTACAGGTATGCAGCTGGGCTAGATGGCGGGAGCCTGGGTGGGAGAACAAATATGGACATACTTAGCCAACAGATTTCTGAGAGCAAACCTGAAAAGTGGAAAGTCTGCGGTTGTCTCTTCTTCTACCTTGTCCAGGTCTCTGTACCGCTAAGGGAACTGGACCATCTGCTATTGTCCACACCCTTAAGCCATCCCCTTGAGCACTTCCGAACTCAGTCCATCAATATCCCTGGGTGGGTACTATTAACACCTCGTTCATTTGTATCCTTTATCTCTCTGCTCTCAATGTCCGCATAGACCTTATTGAAAAACTGCTGCAGGGAGCTGCCCAGCTTAGTCATATGCTTGTACAGGCTCCTCATTTACTGGCTTCGCAGTCTAGACTAATTCTCTCATCCTAGATCAGTCTTTATGGTCCCTAAAGTGAGTGGAGCCAGAAGCAGGTCAGTCAATCTCAGGTTTCTTTGTTGGCTACTGTATTTAGTCCAGCTTGCTTTTGTCTTGTGAGAGGCTCACAACCCTTATCGCAGACCTACATTACGTAACACAGCTGTTTAAATTCAGACTGCATGGACCGCGGTAGCACCACAAGCCTTCAGTCAGGATCAGGTTCTCCCTGGGCTGGGCACTGTGCACACTCAAAAAATGCATTCACTCAAGAATTTATAAGCAAAATATGGAACAGAACAACAGGTGGATCCAAACCCAGATGAAGAGCGTAAGGTAACAAGGAGATGATGGCTGGTGTAAAAAGCAAAACAACTGTCTAGCCACAAGGATCAAAGCCCTGAGGTAGGCGGGGAGGTGGGTGACTTGAAGGAAGTGCAAGCGGAAGTGGGCAAAAGGAGAGGCATGCTCATTCTTCCTGGGAAAGCAGAGCAATCAGCTAGTTACCTGAGGTGCATGCATGGAGCCTGGGAAACAAGAAGGAAGAACTGGAAGTCCTCCCAGAGTCACAGGCCTATGATGTGATCAGAATAACAGAGACATGGTGGGAGCTCGCATGACTAGAGCACTGTCATGGGTGGGTACAAACTGCTCAGGAAGGACAGGCAGGGGAGAAGAGGAATTGCATTTAATGGAAGAGTCATATAACTGCTCAGAGCTCCAGTATGAAACTGGAGACAGGGCTGTTGAAAGTCTCCGGATGAGGGTCAGAGGGGAGACCAACAAGGGTGATGTTGTGGCGGGGGTCTGCTATAGACCACCAGACCAGGAGGAAGTGGTGGATCAGGCTTTCTTCAAACAGCTAGCAAAAGTTTCCTGATCACAATCCCTGGTTCTCATGGGGGACTTAGAATCATAGAGTCAATGAATCGGGAGGGACCTGGACAGATCATCGAGTCCGACCCCCTGCCATGGGCAGGAAGGAGCACTGGGGGTGGCAGGGGTCATAAGACCCCAGCCAGGTGCCTGTCCAGTCTCCTCTTGAAGATTTCCAGGGAAGGTGAGAGCACCACCTCTCTGGGAAGCCTATTCCTGGCTCGGACCACCCTTACAGTGAAGTAGTTCTTCCTAATATCTAACCTAAACCTCCCCACCCTCAGCTTGTGGCCATTGTTCCTGGTGACTCCAAGGGGGGCCCTGGTGAACAGACTTTCCCCGAGTCCCTGCTGGTGGCCCCTGATAAAGTTGTAGGCAGCCACAAGATCCCCCCCTCAATCACTCTGATGTGCTGGGAGGGCAATAAAACAATCCAGGAAGTTTTGGACAGTGTCGGAGACACCTTCCTGGTGCAAATGCTGGAATGGCCAAATAGGGGCTGTGCTCTTCTTGACTATGCACAAACAGAGAGCACAGGAACAAACCATCCCAATGAGCAGGAAGACGAGCAAGTACGGCAGAAGACCAGTTTGGCTTAACAGAGAACTCTTCAGTAAACTAAATCACAAAACGGAAGTTTATAAGAAGTGGAAACTTGGACAATTAACTAGGGAGGAGTATAAGAGCATTGCTTGGGCATGCAGGGATGAAGTCAGGAAGGCCAAAGTGCAATTGGAGTTGCAGCTAGTAAAGGATGTGAAGGGAAACAAAAAGGGTTTCTACGAGTATGTTGGTAGCAAGAGGAAGATCAGGGAAAGTGCAGGTCCCTTACTGAATGGGGGAAGCAGCCTTGGGACAAAGGATGCAGAAAAGGCTGAAGTGCTGAATGCCTTCTTAACCTCAGTCTTCACAGGCAAGGTCAGCTCCCAGACTACTGCACCGGGCAGCACAGTTTGGGGAGGAGGTGGGCAGCCAACAGTGCTGAAAGGACAGGTTAGGGACTACCTAGGAAAGCTGGATGTGTAGAAGTCCATGGAGCTGAACAGGATTACTGAGGGAATTGGCTGAAGTGATTGCAGAGACACTGGCCATAATCTCTGAAAACACGTGGTGATCAGCAGAGATCCTGGACAACTGGAAAAGGGCAAACTGCTCATGCTTAAGAAAGGGAAGGTGGAGGATCCAGGGAACTACAAACCAGTCAGCCTCACCTCAGTCCCTGGACAAAATGGAGCAGGTCCTCAAGGGATGCATTTCTAAGGACTTGGAGGAGAAGGTGATTAGGATCAGTCAGCATGGATTCATCAGGGGCAAGTCATGCCTGACCAACCTGATTGCTTTCTATGATGAGGTGACTGGCTCTGTGGATGTGGGGAGACCGGTGGATGTGGCGTACCTTTATTTTAGCAAGGCTTTTGATACGGTCTCCTACAACATTCTCGTAGGCAAGCTAAGGAAGCATGGGATGGATGGATGGACTGTAAGGTGGATAGAAAACTGGCCGGATCATTGGGCTCAGAGAGCAGTAGTCAATGGGTCTATGTCTAGTTGGCAGCCAGTAGCAGGTGGAGTGCCCCAGGGGTTGATCCTGGGGCCAGTTTTGTTCGGTATCTTCATCAATGACCTGGAAGATGGCATAGAGTGCACCCTCAGCAAGTCTGCAAATGACACCGGGGAGGGGGGAAGTAGTAGATACACTGGAGGGTAGGGCTAGGATTCAGAATGGCCCAGACAAATTGGAGGATTGGGCCAAAAGAAATCTCACATGGTTCAATAAGGACAAGTGCGAAGTCCTGTACTTAGGACAGGACAATCCCATGCACTGGTACACGCGGGGGGCTGACTGGCTGGGCAGCAACTCTGCAGAAAATGACCTGGGGGGACAGTGAACAATATGCTGAATATAAGCCAGCAGTGTGCCCTTGTTGCCATTAAGGCTAACAGCATCCTGGGCTGCAGTGGTAGGTGTGTTGCCAGTAGGT